CTTCCAAATGGGGACTTGGGATCCATAGAGTCACTTTTCACTCGGTTGCAAGGGTAGCAGGAAACGGGAGCACTGTCAGGAGGACTTGTGTCACTTTTTGTGATGCTGCTTAAAAAGCAAACAAACACAGAAAAGGAAATTAGTAAAAAAAAATTTAACCCTAGCCCTTGGGAGGTAGATACAGGTGGATCTCTGTGAGTTCTAGGCCAGCCTGGTCTACAGAGTAAGACCTTGTCTAAAAAACAGTCAAACCCCAAGCTTTTCTTTATCATTATTCACAGATGTTAATTCTAAGGTGAAAGGCAGTAGGAATATATAATTATATATATAATATATATAAAATAAATATATAATCTTAAATTCAATAAATTACCTGTTGACTTTTTTTTCTTTAAAAGAATCTATAATGTTCTTTGTACTTGATGCTATAAATGATTTAAAATGGAGTGAAGGTAAAAAATAATATATGCACATACATAAATATGCATATTTTAGCTAATAAGAAAGTACTGTAAGTAGGTGCTGGCATCTTCACATTGGTCCAACACTGAAGAGATAAGTCTGCAGTGGGCAAGGGAGAGGGACTGAGTGGTGGTAAGTGTCTCATACAAGCATGCAAGAGACAATGATGTGACCACATCACCACTGTCCATAACTCTGAGTTCTTCCCAATGTCTATTCAGAAGAATTGCTTCCAATAAAATGCCTATCCTTGCATTAGTGTCGAACAATAGGGTTATATATAGCATAAGGATTTAATGTCCAGAGGACAAAAACAAATAAAACAAAACAAAAAACAGGCCTGCAAAGACTTTAAACTTCAAGAGCACAGGTTGGGGCCATATTTTCACATCCTAAGATTGACAGTAGAACCAGACTAAGCTGAAAGGTGGGTGAGCAGGCTGTGGGTCATGTCAGAGGAACAGTAGAGGAAATGGGCATTTTGTTTTGCAGAACTTAAAAGTTTTCTAAGGGAAATGTTTCTCTAGACAAACTACAGTTGAAAGTTACTTAGAGACAGACGTGTTATAACTTGAGAACACAGAGAGTTCTTTAGAAAACAGCTGCCATTTGCAGCAGTGAAGCAGGCTATGTCTGGGAAGAGCTCAGAGCTGGGGAGAGACCCAGACAGGAGCAGCTTTGCAGCCACAGCCAAGAAGGGATTCCTGCTGGACTCAAGCTCAGAGCAGAAGGCTGAGGGAAGCCTCAAGGTCCTGGTAGAAGGTGTTGTCTGCTTGTATCAAAGTCAAGATGAAAAGAACCAGAGCCGGTTTTTGAGACACAACAGAAGCCCACACACTGCTCCTAAAAGGAGTGGCCTGGCTTCTCAAAGACCCTTGCGGCATCTTTTCTTATCAAGACACCGGCTCTTCCATCCAAGGTCAAAACCAGCAAGGGTCCAACTATGCTCTTCCTATACCCTTATTTTTAAAAGGCAAACACAAAAGCTGTCTCTATGGTGCAATCAGTTAGCGCGTTCAGCTGTTAACCGAAAGGTTGGTGGTTCGAGCCCACCCAGGGACGCTCATGCTCACTTTTGGGCTGGAGAGATGGCTCAGCCGTTAAAGGCTAGGCTCACAACCAAAAATTAAAAGGCAAACACCATTTCCTCTCCCACCTGCTGCTAGATGATATTCTCAAGGCCTGTGAGCTGCCTGGTGAGGAGATGGGTTGCTGTGAGTTCTGATGGGAACAATTACATGTTATGCAGCCCTGAAGAATAGTAGGACAGGGTGGGGCTGGGAGAGCGAGTCTGTTGCCGAATGGGCTTGACTGTGCGAGGAGGGATGGAGGGACTTGTGGATAAAGGCTTTGAGCTTCGGGGTGGAACAGGTGGGGCGTTCAGGAGCCGGCATTCTTCCCTGACCTGGTGTGGGAAAAGAACACTCCAGGTTAGCAGCACACGTGGATTTGGAGATGGGGGTGGAGGGATGGGGGTAGGGTTGGGGAGCACTGCTCCATCTTGCAGGGTCAGGGAGTTACTTTAATCAGTAAAGGTAGTAGTGGGTAAGCAGGAGACACACAAGAGAGAAACATGGGCAAATAAGAATGCATCAACACACACACACACACAC